GTATGTTTTACCTTTAATTTTTACAAATTGGAATCAAATCTTCATGGATGTGGAAATTCATCAAAGTTGCCGATTTAGTCAGGTTATGAAACTCATTTTCTTTATTGTATCATCATCTAGCATTGAAATAATAGCTAGGAGTTTCATTAACTGAGACGCAGAAACTAGAAAATGAAATGTAAACCAGTGAACTGTGAAAATGATGATATATTCACATATACTCTATTGAAAATGATTTTGCATTCTCTGCAAATGCAGATCTGTGATGTGATGGAATCATTGAAGTGGAATTACTTACTTAAAGGACTTTTTAAGAACATGAGCATATATGTTCTTCATACATTGAATGAACAAGATTTTTAGTAGTATTTTCTTAGGATCACTGAGTGTTAGTACTTGAATGAGCCTTAAAGTCAGCTAAGTCTTGCCCAGGGTTCCACAGACTTTTTCTTACAGGACCAGATATTCAATATTGTAGCCTTAGGGTCATATGGTCTGTATTATCTAAACTACTCAGCTCAGCAACTTAGTGCAAGGGCAACTATTGGCAATGTATGAATGAATGAATGAATGAATGTAGCTGTTTTCTAACAAAATTTAGTTACAAAGACAGTTGGCTCTGGGTTTTGGACTATAGTTTGCTGAACTCAGATCTCAGTCCCCTCATTGTACACAACAAATCCAAGACTAGAAAGCTTAAGTAACTTACTCAAGGAGACACAACTAGCTAGGTGGTGCCAGAACCACTATAAGGCATTTCGTTTGCCAATTCACATGTGTTCCAACCAATACACGGGGTACTGCTCTGATAACAAAAGCATGCTTCTCATATGGTATGTAGCTAAAGAATTCTGACTAATTGGTCTTACCACATCTTTTCATTTCTCTTAGCTATATTTCCCAGAAAAGTATATCGTTTATATCTTCTATACAAAAATAGAAAACCAGAAAAGAGTTAAGAGTTAGAGATTGCTCAAATTCCCAATCAATTTGACCACCTACAAAAAAAGGATGTATTGGAATTTGAAAGAATAATTAGGTGTGCCTCTAACATGGAATCTAATTTATATTTGTATACAGCTAAAACAACTTCGGCTGTTTGGGGAACCTAAAACAGTTACTAGTAAAATGCATGTGCTCCTGGACTTTTAATAGCGTGTTCCCTATATTAATTCTTGTTGGGGTTGTATTAAATGCCTGTGCCTATGTCTAGTGGGGAATTGAACAGAACCGTGTCTAAAGCCCAAGGACAAGTATGAGCTTGGGAATTTCTTAAAAACATGATACAAGCCACAGTGATATAGGTAGTACATATATTTGAGAAAGCACTGGTTAAAACGTATGTGTGTGTGTACATGCTTCCTATCTATCATCTTTCTTTTCTTTCTTTCTTTTCTTTCTTTTCCCTTCCTTCCTTCCTTCCTTCCTTCCTTCCTTCCTTCCTTCCTTCCTTCCTTCCTTCCTTCCTTCCTTCCTTCCTTCCTTCCTTCCGTCTATCTATCTAATCTCCCTAGTCAAAACCATTTCAGGGCCAAATAGGGGAAGTCCAAAAGGAGACCTAAGTCATTCCTGGTTAACTATTCTGTATCTGAGAAGTAAAGAGAAATTTAAAAGAAGGGGGAGTGGTTAGCAGAGTCTAATGCAACAGAGAGATTAGAGAGTATTAAGTTAATTCTGAAAGAGCCTTCACTGTTGGCTAAATGGCTGGTCTGCTCAGGAAAAGTATTGGAAGCACTATCCCATGATTTTTTCTGTGTCCATGTCAGAGGGTTGAACCAAGCCCAAATGGTCCCTGTAAGACAACAAATGTTATCTGTAAGACAGCCATCTCACAGCGATCTGAAAAGGAATTCATTTATTGGCAAGAAGTTAGTTAAAAAGCTTCTTCACTGCTCTGGAAATCCAGGATTCTGTTATGCTAGTGTCAGGACAGATCAAATATGAGTCCTTGGCAGTAGGGTGTGAATAGCAGGATTATCCCCTCTACTTTACAGTCTTTAGTTAATTAGAAATGGCAACACCTTAAAGGTGAATACCCTGAATTTTCTGTGAGCCATTTTAGGGGCCATGGGAACGTGCACTCCTTCATGGGCACATGCTTGACCAAAGCAGCAACGAGCATATAGCCAGTACTCCTCTGGTTAGCTCTTCACTTTGCTTTTTGACTTTTAATTCTAACTAAACATTAATGTGAGAAGTTTTGATAATAACCCATGAACTTCATCTTTTTTATAAGGTAGTGTAGTCCTCTTCCTGTAGTGTCACCATGGCAACTGACAAGGAACAGAGAAAGAAAGCTTTCACACATGCTGTGCTAATTAATCCTGTCCTACAGTTTTCCTTCAGCTGGAGGATGCAGTTTAATGAATTTTGCATGAGTAAGCGCGATTTGATGCATGAACTGTGTAAACACATAGCAATATATTTACCAAAAATATTTGTAAAGATGTAGTTATGTATTTTATACTTCAAGGTCTTTCTCTTTTTTTTCTTTTTCTTTTTTTTTAGTCATTGTTTTAATAATTTGCTCACTCCCTGAAAAGGTTTGAAATTTTTTTGTCTTGTTACGCAAACAGAAACATTTGAGGGTGAAAAGCTTTTGTTCATTACTATACAATCAGTTTCCACAAAAATTGTTCTACTTGACCAACTGTATTCAAGTAAGATGAGACAGTTTTTCTCAAGGATGCAGAAAAATGTATCTGAAAAATATAATAACAATCTTCATTATTAACAACAAATGTTATCTGTAAGACAGCCATCTCACAGCGATATGAAAAGGAATTCATTTATTGGTAAGAAGTTAGTTAAAAAGCTTCTTGACTGCTCTGAAAATCCAGGATTCTGTTATGCTAGTGTCAGGGCAGATCAAATATGAGTCCTTGGCAGTAGGGTATCATACCGTATGGCAAACCATTTTAAGACGCTTAATGTTAACATTTTGAAACATTAGATATCAAAAAACCTATTTTCACTGTTGTTTTGGAAAGTTATCTGAATGAAGTTGGGACAGTCTTTGACTTAAGCGTGTGGGAAAGAAGAAAATAATGTAGATAAAGAACTTTTTGTATTATACTTTCCACAAATATTTAACAAGTTCACTAAACACTTATTCAGAGTAAACACGAAATTGCATATAGTTATTTTGATTTATGCTGTTTCTAGATTATTTTGAGATCTTGTTCTCTCTTTACAACTGGGAATATCAGTTTTTTATAACTAGCCTGGTCTGAGCTGTCAAGGAAAATCTCATATTTTTTTCATCCCCCATCCCTCTCTGGCCTCGATTTCTGACAAGAGGGCCTCAGGAAAGCCTAAAGCCTGAATTTTCTTAGCATCCCATTTGACTGGACAATAACATACGGAAGAAATCAGAACCAATTTCAGGCCTTTTGCTCAGCTCTTTGTTCTGTGCATGGAACTGTAGCTATTTGAGGAACCAAACCTTTTGATGGGATTCTCAAATTCTGGAGATATTTTATCATCCTGGTTGCGCTCTCTGTTCAGTTTTGTCTGAATTGAGGTAGGATAAAACCTTGCACAGAAAAGGAAGAGGGTTATTATGGAAATCTATTTTCAGAGTAGTTACTCTATTGATGTGCAAAAAGCTTGGGAACCATGAATGTATGTTTGTGTGCATTTAATCTGTACATTTTAATGTGGAATATTTATAAATGTTAATTTATAATATATCATTGCATTATTATGAAAACTGCATTGTGAAAAAATTGAGTGACTGTAACTATAGTTTAATGAATTTGAAATTTTTTTGTCTCATCAGCTATTCTATTTATTTTGAAATTTACATATAATACTGAACATGGAATGCCATGTTTAGTAAACAGGAAAAAGTCATTTTCTTAATACTACATACAAATTGTAAACAACCAGAACATTGAATGATTATATGATGGTAGGGCCACTGTAGGAATGTCCTGTGTTCTCTGAACATCACAGTGGCAAGTCATCTTTTACACTTGTCATTAATGAACAGAACCAGATAGAACGCTCTCATGCAGGTTTTCATTTTCTTTTTTTAGCAACATACAGATTTTGTGGTTTTTAAAAGAATTACCCTTATATAAAACTTGGGGGGCAAAACTCAGAAAATTGTATTTTTTAAAAAATAAAATGCATAACCCCATATTCCAGAGATAGCCACTGAAGACATTTAAAGGTATTTTTAATCAATATTTTTTTTTTTAGGGGAAAATATGCAGATCTACCCTTTTTTTTCCTGTGCATGAATATTTATGTTTATGAGGTCAAACTACCTATAATTTTTTTACTTAATGTCTTCCTTCTTTTTCCTAATTTTTAAAAATTCTGAGAAAGTTCTAATTTATTAAATACTATCTCATCATCTGTATGTACCAGATTTATTTGACTGTTTTCTTGTAATTACTTACTGAGGTGGTTTTCAAATTAAGTATTTCCTAGTGAGTGACAGAACACTGGAACCACAAGAAGTTTTGAGACAACTCTTTGAGAAAAGTGTTGTACTCTTTTCTTGCAGATTCACAATTAGAAAAATTAAGGGCACTGAGAAGTGTCACAAATTGGAGACTGTTTAACTTTCTAAATTCATTTTTTTCTTCAAAGTCACTTGACCAAGGAACCCTCTCTCATGGCACTTACAAATTTATAACTGTCAAAACTAGAGCTTCATGAAACGTACTTCAGAAAATCCAAGCAATTTCTAAGTTTTTGTGTTACATCTAATAGTTTATGAATTATTGGTTTACTCTGCTGCTATTTTTGTTAGCTTCATGACACCTGTGTTTTATTAGGAAATATGTGATTTAACGGTTATTAGCACGTATTCAAAGCAGAGAGATCACAGTATTTTTTCCCCAACCTTTTGATTCACCTTAACATTGCATTCACGATTCTGTATTAAAAGATTGTGTTTGACCTTTTAAAATTGTGAACATTCAACTTTAAATTCCCTTGTTCTGTTAATGTCCGTTAAATGTCTTTATGTTTCCTGTAACCCGCAGGTCTTGCAAGAGCGAAATCCGTTCCTAGCCACACTTACTCCAATGAAGTGGTTACCTTGTGGTACAGACCTCCAGATGTCCTCCTAGGCTCGACAGAGTATTCCACCTGCCTTGACATGTGGTGAGAAATGAGGCTTTGCTCTAGCTAATCTAACTGTAGTGCTTAGTCTGGGTCAAGCCTAGACAAACATCCTAACAGTTTGAATGAAGATTAATGTTGCAGGAGTGTTTGCCTGTGTGTGGCAACACTGCTGGCTTTAAACACACACACACACACACACACACACACACACACACACACACACACACAATCGGGAATGTTCCCTAATGAGAGTCTCCCTTGCAGATGGTGTGTAGTAATGGTTCTTGATAGACAGGGCAGACACATTTTTCTACCTGTCAGTAATGAGAGTCTCCCTTGCAGATGGTGTGTAGTAATGGTTCTTGATAGACAGGGCAGACACATTTTTCTACCTGTCAGTATTGTGAGTTTTCTCTCTAAGAGTCTTAATTGTGGCTTTATTTTATAAGAAGGAACTATATATCTCAAAACAGCACTAGATTTGAAATAGCAGAGAGCAGGTTTAAATTCGCAACAAACCTCAGATAAAAGGTCTGAAATTTTTGGTATAACTGTTAGGCACCAAATTGGCTTACAGTATATCCCTAAAAACTGTTGATACCAATTATCCAAAATAAAATATGAGTGCTTTTTAAAAATATAAGTCTAATTTTAGCTCTCAGCTTCACACAGTGGTTCAGCAAAGCTTAAAAATCTATTTTATGAAGTCCAGTAATTGGCAAGATGTAACGTATAATTAGTATTAGTAACTGTGCTTAGTTCCCAGTTAAGTGTGATTTAAGTCAAATAATTAAATACGGGAGTAATTTCACTCTTAGCATGCGAGACTGGCTTACTGGTGACTGCTGAGCATGTCTTTTATTAATAAAAATTAGCTATCTTTTCTAAACTTACAGTTGTGTTCAAAGTGCAACAATTCACACAGCACATGGATATTTTATAACAGGGATCATCTTCCCTGAATTATTCTGCTCCCATTTATAGAATTCAGCTATCCATACGTGTAATGTTTAACCTCAGTAAAACATCAGCATGTGTTGTTTATCTTACTGTTACAAGATAAACTTCATTGCTCTGCCCCCAGTAATCTTGACTTTTCATAAATTAAGCTGTGATGAGGGCTGGCTTCTTTCCTGATGTTTTTGATCCAAAAATTTTATGGTGAGAAAACAGTCAGCCAGCAGGTTTGAGACCTGCCCAGGCAACTTGGCAAGACCTTTATCATAAGTTTCTTATGATAAAGGGCACTGTGTGGATTTCCTTGATTTCTGTTCCAAAAACCTCACTAGAAATGGAACTTGGGGAATTGTAAGAAGAATTGAGATCATCATATAGCATAAGATCTGTTGTCAGACATTTTATGTCTTAACATAAGTCTAACACCATCTTTTTTTGTTTTGAGTTGGAATCTCTCTCCGTCGCCCAGACAGGAGTGCAGTGGCATGCTCACAGCCACCCCAGCCATTTGGCCTCCTAGGCTCCGGCAATCCTTCCACCTCACCTTCCAAGTAACTGGAACTACAGGCACATGCTACCATGCCTGGCTAATTTTTTATTTATTGTAGAGACGAAGTCTTGCCAAGTTGCCTGGGCAGACCTCAAACCTGCTGGCTCATGCAGTCCACTTGCCTTGACCTCCCAAAGTGCTGTGATTACAGCCTGAGCCACCGAGCCCGGCCAGTCTAATACCATTTTAATGATACTCTAAAACACCAAGAGTAAAGACGATCATTTATAATTGAGGGGCTAAGATAATATATTTTTTCATTATATTTTCTGGCTTTTTTTTTTTTAGATGGTTGGTTACACAGTTATGTTTTCTTCCCAAGGCTAGGCAGGGGCTTGGGCAAAATAGATACTTAAATAATTAGTTGTAATGGAGGAAGAGGTTGAAAATAAGGCTATGCAATGCAGTTACTAGCTTTCTCATTCATTCCCTTCCTGCCTTTATAGCTGGCTATGTAACTAATCATTACTTAATATTTTTGAGTTACGGGTGTTTTTTCTATTTTATGAGTAAGGAGATTCGAGGTTATCTTTCAATGAGGCCAGCTAAAGATTCTGCTAATAAAGCACAGTTTAGAAACATTTGTGGCTCGGAGCCAGCTTTGTCTTAGTTGCTAGCAGTTCAGTAAAGATAGTACCTCAGGAGAAACTGGTTTTATGTACTAATGGCTAATTTTTCCCACGCCTTTTAAAGTGCTTTTTTAAGTGCACTTTATATAAAGAGCCACATGGACTGTGACTTCCTAATATGTCTGTTTCTGAGGTGTAGCACAGTATTTGATATCTAGTCTGTGCCTCTTTCTTTGTCTTTTTTTCGTGTGTGTTTGTGTGTGTGTGTGTGTGTGTGTGTGTGTGTGTGTGTTTTCATTCTCCCAAGGAAGATGGGACTTGGCACTTTCCACCAGTTTGCTTTGGATAGAGACATGATGGAAGCATAAAAAGAAGACTGTTATTTAACTGTAAGGGAAGAAAACTGATAGCAAAATAGTAGACCCCAAATGCCTTTTTGTCTACATGCCAAGATTATTCATTGCCAAAAACAAATAGCAAATGTATTATATCTGAACAGTTTCTCATGCTTTCTGGCTTGTCACTTATAAGCCCTAAAATCTAAGTTACGTCTATGCTGTACCTGTCTTTCTGAATCTGATTTCATTCTAAGCCATTTTCTGAAAGCTGTTTTGTTATTATCCTTTAAATCAAGTAAAATGTATGTGTTTTTCCAGTTAGGAGTTCACAGTTAGGAGGCACTGATTTTTGTATAATCGATAACATTGATGCTGTGTATTCATGGACCTAGAAATGGGACTATAATTGAGTCATGGCTCAGCTGCACCAAAGAGACGAGCAAATATTTAACCCATGGACGATAGCAGGGAGGCAGGTGGCAATAATCTCAGGCTATTTTTACAGTTCATTTACTATCTGGGGGCAGTAGGGTAGTAACTAAAACTTAACGATCCCTGCACAGTGTTATACTTTGTAGTTTTCTTTTTAAATAGCCCCAAGCAATAAAAATATTAATGAAGACACACATACATTAGTATTGTCAGCCAGTGATGGAATCAGAGCTGGACGTGGTGATATACTTCTCTAGATCTCCAACACACTGTGGCAATGAGTAAATATAACGTTTTTTGAGGACACATCAAGAAAGATGGCTTTTTGATACGTTTGTCTCCCTCCATATAGGAGGCTTAAAACAGAGGCATCAAGTTGAACATTTCCTCTGTATACCTTCTTTTAATTTTTAGATTTTATGACTCCTTGAAAAGCAAGGCATAGGATATCATTGCTAACCTTCTAAACCAAAAAGGCTTACTAAGTTCTGAAAACCACATAAGAAAAGTGCGAGTGTAAAAAGCAGCTCATCTGTTAAGCTCTCCCTTGCTGGGGAGCTCTGCTCTAGCTGTTGAGATTACTGCTCCAAATAAGCGTCATATTCATGAATAGATGCTCATAAACAGGTTTAGAGCTGCATTTGTTTTTTTAAAAGTAGAAAAGCAGAGGGTCACTTGGGATTATCTCAAGGGATTAATTTTTAATATAGGTTGACTGAGTTATCCATGGCTAATAAACGATTATATCATCAAAATCACAGTGCTTGTTGGGGGGCTAAAATACATAGTAGCAATGCTCTGAGGTATCAACCACAGGACTCCCAACACAATATATGAAGAATGATAGCATATCATTCTCTTCCTTTCATCATCTTTTAGAAAGCTAATTAACATATTAACTATGCTTGTCAAAATGTGGGGCAAATCATTTATAAATAAGCCTGTCAAATGTAATGAGATTGCATATTAAATCATCCATTTCTCTATTACATCTCTGATTTAAGATTAAAATTAATTTATTTAACATTGTAGCAGCTGGGTGGTTAGGAAAAATTTCCATATCAGTCTTGATATATAGAAAAATGTCTGCATCAAAACTGATTTTGCATATATTAGAAAAGAAATTGCCTGTTTATTAAGTATTATAAGGCTATTTAGCATTGCTTTTTATTAAATGAACCAATCACCATACATATTGACAATATATAAAAAAGTGCTGTCATCATCGTTAATGATCTTTCTTGAACCAAGGAAATTTATGTAATAAAATAAGGTTTTCTGAAATTTAGTTTTAAGAGAGAGAATCATAAATATAAATACTACTACATCCTCTACCCTGAAATTAAGTTTGTTCTATATGAGGACCTATGGTTTAATTTGAGAATTAAGTAGTAATATAGCCACAGTAATAAGTACTTTTATTGAGCATAAACTGTTTTCTAAGCCCTGTTATGCATTTTAGTTACTTTCCTATTGTCCCATGATACAGTGAAAGGAAACAAGACCCAGAGAGACTAAATAGTACAGTTAAGGTCATATAGTTAGAAAATGGAACCAACATTCAAACTCAGGGATAACCTACTGAAAGCCTTTCTCTTTACAGCATGTTACATAATCTCCTAAGATTATTTATAAGAAATTGGCCTTTATTTCACTACTAAGGTGACTCTAAAACAAAAGTACAGTAAAATTTCTATTCTGTAATTCAGGTTATACTCTGAGTTATGGTATGTTTTCTGTATCTACCACTCACTCATGGACAGTGGGTAGCTTTCACTCTCACCCAACAGCCTACGGACACCCTTTCTCTACTGACATCAATGTTCTAACAGAGTCTACTATATAGTTTTGCTCAAGGAAAAGATTTAAATAAACTAAGATATGAATTATTGGATTGAATACATTTTTATGGAACCAGAATCTATGTTGGCATGTGTTTTCCTAATCCCTAGCCATTTACCACTTCTGCCAACATGAAGGCATTCATTTTAAAAAGAATGGTGATAAGGATGAGACTTTGAGTTCCTGGGCTACATCCAGTCATCTGTCTTTGAGCATCTACTTGCACATTTTGTCATTAATCAGCTCACAAGACCAAGGCAGATATGAATGAGTTACTGTCAAATATAACAACTCTTTTAAAAATTATTATTATTTTATTATAAAGATGTGGGGTACAATTCAGGGTTAGGT